GTGCATAGAGCGATGTGTAATTAGGTCAATAGTTTGTTTCATTCATAATCCCGTCCACTTACGTTAGTGGTTTCATGATAAAATGTTAACCAACCACACACATCGTCCGGATTCGATTCCTGGCCGCCAACGTCGAAAGTAAACCTGAAGAAGAGGGAAGATTGTGCTTGAGGCTAGCAACCTCCCCCCCGGCCCATCGTTGCCACTGAAGCTTCAAAGTTTTCTGTTCGAAGCCTCTATGTTCCACATGGAACGCAAAGGGAATGAAAAAAATTCCCATTTATTTATCGTCAAAAATAATCCATTAGAATCGTATTTTTATATTGAGGTCGATTTGGGTTGGTTAGAAATGTATTATTCCCCTTAATTTCGAGTTGGATATAGGGCTTCAACGACACAGAGTCATTTCATCCTGTTCTTTGCAGCACTCTTTTGGCTGGTCCATAAGCTTTTCTCTCCTCCTCACATGTGATATCTTTCATGTCACCCTCGGACTCATCCCCAACTCGTCATTTCCCACACACCTTTCACTCTACCGATGGCCTGCCGTGCGATATCATCCAATAGTCTCTTCATTGTGTGTGTGTGTTCGATCCATCGCTGTTTTCTGCCCAATATTTGTTGAGCAATAAGTTCTCAACTGTTAGTTTTTTCCCATAGTTTCCTGTTGATAATTCTTTGTGGTCGGCCATATGATCTTCAGTATATACAGCCAGCGAAGGGAGCAGCTCTTAATGAAAGTCTACAGGTGGCCGTTTTGGAAATGTCCCGCGTGACACATCAAGTGTCTGACCATTACCAAAGAACTGATTGACTTAACGCCGGTGTTGAAAATTCGAATTTTGTTTCTTACTATTGATTACAACAGATCTCCACACTGATTATTTGAGAATAATGAAGGTTTTTTCTTAGTAACTGGATCGTGGCTGCGTTTGACATCGTCATTCGTGACGCCTCAAGTTGAAAATACTGCTGCTTAGACAGGTGAAGTTGAGTGAACCGTTTCAAGTTTATTCTGTTGATAGTAATTAGTGCTTGTTTATTGTTGGTTGTTCGTTGTCTGTCTGTCTGTTTTCGACATAATTAAGATCCAAAAAAAAAAAAGAGAAAAAAAATGGCTTTTTCCTTGTTCGTTGGGTATCGACACTCTCTGTGTTTTCTCCATGTTCACTTGAAGTCCTGTGTTCGCTGCTTCTTCAGCTAATTTGTTGGTTTTCTCTTGTAATTCTTCGCGTTTGCATGACATCAATTATCTATGAAGTCCCAGACGTTCTATTGTCTTCTTATCGATCCAACCTATGTCGCCTGTCTTCTCGATCCTGAGGCACGTTCAGCTCCATGATCCAGTCTACGACAATCAGGAATATCATCGATGATAGTAAATGACAGTCTTTTCTTACACTCCTGTTACTTCACTTCAAAGGTTTGTCTGAGTTTTTCATTGTGGATCATTTGACATGAGATATTGTCATAGAGCTGATGAATAACATCAGAAATGTCAGACGAAAAGTGTTTTTTTTATATTAGAACCTTGCATTTCTAAGTGAGTGAGTGATGGTTTTACCCCTGATACTGTAACCCAGTACCCACCGTCTCAAAAGCCTCCTTGGACCGAGCTGTCTACTGGAAAATGCTTTGAAATTTGAAACTGTAGGTCCTGGGAGAGTACCAACAACCACTGGGGTTCACAGACATATCTAGCTGACGAGTCCAAAATAGGACAAAATAAGCACTCTGAACTTTACTACTAGTTACCATTCAGTCAATTAATTTATGATAAACACTGTTCCACAAATTTATAACTATTATTATTATTCGACTGATCCACAGCACCTGAACGTCGTTTTATCAGATTTTCAGCAGGATGCCAGTAAGAGTGTGTATGTGTGTGTGTTAGCAAAATTCAACAAGAAAGGACATTTCTAATGAAATTATCTGATTAATTTCACATACATAAAAAATATCGGATATACAGTTTAAATATACAGATAACACGAATTCCTAATTTGAATTTTCGGAGGACTATAATAATTACAAAACTCGATAATTTCACGAAAATACGATCTCATTGTTTGGCCGACACACTCTGCTTGTACTGTGTCTGCCGGCCACGAACGTGATGGAAGGCTTATTCCCTGCCGACTGACACCTAAATCTTACCCAGAATTCTAGTCGACAGTAAGCCCGGAAAAGAAGAACGATTGAGCATGATATGAGCCACCACATCTCTTCAAAACAACATGACAATATTTCAGCTATGTCAGTTCTTGTCAAATGAAATATAATTAGGGACTGGTCAGGTCATTGTGTGAAACGGCTTCAAGACTTTACTTTTAAGATAGACAGCATGAAGCGTCAGACTTTCGTGAAAAGCATCTGTTTCGAAATGGGCATCTTAAAGAAATTTAAAAGTCGGAACAGAAAAAATTATAGCCATAGAAAGACTGTTATTCTGTCAGTAGTTAATGTCGGTGTTTCAGTGGTGGAATACTCACCAAACCTACGCATGGTTCGGAGTTCAATTCCTGACTGACGAACTCCTGAACGTCGCCTAGCTAAAGCTTGGTAGAGAGAAGCGGTGGAACAGAAGGAGTTTAGCAACTCCGACTCTCAAAAACAAAACTACCGCTACTGGAACTTAAAAGTATTAGGCAGAAAGGCCTGTTTTCCACTTGACACTTGGAGGAATGAAGAAAACGTCTGCCTCACTAATTCTTTGTCTCTGTAGATACTTTTTATTTTCACTACAGCTTCATTCCACGCCGTATTTTTGGTACAGGTATGGAATTTTCGGTATGTAATATCGGTAGCTCAAATTTTACAGGTTTGGCGACGGGGAAAACTATGGATCCTTCTAAATTGGAATGACTATTTGAACGACAAATGAAATTAATGGAAATGTTCATCAACCAACAGACTGGTCCAACTTCACCTTCAAGCAATCCGAATCATACCATGCTACCATCTGTCGACGGAATTGTGAATAGTATTTCACAGTTCAATTATAATCCAGATGCGAATGTCACTTTTGACACATGGTATCAACGATATGAGGATTTATTCACAGTTGATCTCGCCTCACAAGACGATGCTTGGAAGGTGCGAGTGTTATGACGTAAATTGGGTCCCGCAGAATATGAAAGGTACTGCAACCTAATTTTACCCCAAAAACCACGTGACAAGTGTTTCGATGATACAATAAAGCTGCTGCGTGAACATTTTGGAGACCACTCCTCATTATTCAGCATACGTTATCGTTGCCTCAAGCTGACAATGAATGAAAATGATGATTTTCTTACTCACGTTGGCACAGTCAACCGAGAATGTGAGAGATTTCGACTCAGGTCCTTAACAGATGATCAATTCAAAGCCTTGATTCTCATATGCAGTCTTCAATCTCCTCGTTTCACAGATATCCGAACTCGACTGCTCAATCAGCTAGAACAAAATCCTAAGTTAACATTACATGACATAGCTGATGAATATCAACGGCTGATTAATTTGCAGAAAGACACACACCTGGTCGAATCAACACCTTCGAGAAGCTCTGATATTCATGCATTACGAAAGAGCAAAAATCTCTCATCATCCAGTCCTGACCCACCTTCTCCTAATGTTCCGCGGAAATCTACACATACTCGTCCAACTTCACAAAATACTGCAAAGAAGACCCCACCATCACCATGCTGGCATTGTGGCGCGTGGCACTTTGTAAAGTCTTGCCCATACAAAAATCATCGTTGCAGCAAGTGCAAAATCATCGGTCATAAAAATGGTTTTTGTCAGCCACGCAAACTCAGATATCATAATCCAGCGAAAGCTCGACAAACTGTTGGTCCTAAATCCCCAAAAAAGTCAATGAGTCTAGTCGCAACCTGTCAAGTCACAACACCAGGTATGCGGAAATATCTTGATCTTCAGATGAATGGTCATGATGCACGTCTGCAGCTAGATACCGCCTCTGATATTACTGTTATATCAGAGAAACTTTGGAATTATATTGGCAGACCACCTATCACCAATACTTCCCAGACTCTTGTCAGCGCCTGTGGTGGGCGGCTCAAACTAATTGGTGAACTCAAATGTTCTGTTTCCTTCCGTAACATTAAATTCACAGGAATTTGCTACGTCACCAAGAGTGATTTAAATCTTTTGGGACTTGATTGGTTCGATCGTTTGCATCTGGCTGATGTCCCACTAAATTCGCTATGCAATGCAGTCAAGAAGCATAAAATGTCAGACAATTCCGGACGAAGCCGAAGCCGCAAACCCAACAGGCAGACGAAACGACAGACGTCAACAACAAGCTCAAAGGTTCCAGATAAACCCCCAGGTAAACATCCTACTAATCATCAATCTTCTCAAAAGGGGAGGTGATATGTATCCATATATATATATATATATATATGGTGGTCTCTCTTTCTGTTGCTCTCTTAGTCTGTGACCATTTCACTTTGATGAACCTGTCTCCTTTAACAATGTATATTCCCCTTATATTATATATAATATGTGTGTTTGTTTGACATGTCTGTATATTTGCTATGTATATGTGGATCGATATTCCATTATAATTAGCCAATCATGTTAAGACTGTCTATTGATTTGTTCATTTTGAATATTGGCTCACACACTTGTGTTCACACACTTGTTCGGACATTCTTATATTTTTGCTCTCACACTCTTGTGGGATATATTGATTTTCCTTGTGTTTGGAAAATAGAAGTATCATCGCAAACCTAGTGGTCTTCTGATTTCCGTCTTTCTTGCGTCAGGACTATTAAATTCTCGACCAGTACATAACAATAATTTGGCGACGAGTACATAATACAGGCCAACCATTGATATCAGGTGTGCGTTGGCAGCGGATCAAACTCCGGATCATGTGCATGGTCGATGACAGTCCTAACTGCTGTGCCGCCGACGCACATACTTTCTGATAACAGTCGTATTTAAAAACTAAAATTATTCTCCTGATGCTTTTCCTCTTTTCTCCTTTACAGAAGGCGCGATGTTACTGGGAAACGAATCAGCTCTGAACAGGACAAAAATGATGCTGAAAGTAATCGTCAACAAGAAACAAGCGGCGGCGGCGGCGATGATGATGACGACGACAACAAGGAATCTGCAGCGAAACGTCCACGTTATTCCAGTGATCAAAAGGATGACGATGATAATAATAATAATAATAATAATTCCAAAGGTAAAAACACCTCAGATACTACTGATCTCAATTCAGTATGGTGTAAATCAGCACAAACATCACAAGGAAGTGGAAATCCAGCTGGCGCTGGTAATAATAGCAACAGTACATCGGGGAATATCAAGACACCGGATGATGAATTCGATGAATATTTTGCAGATATGTTAATGTAACCTAATGATTTTAATTATTATTAATGTTGTTGTTTAACCTCACTTCTTCACATGAGGGGCTCATCTTCACGGTCGACTCTCCATTTACACTCACTCACGCACACACACACACACACAATTGTGTTGTATATACATGCATTATCTTCGTTCTTCCTCATTTTACCGCACTGTTATCAGTCTCCGTGCACATATCTCTTTTCACCGCATTCAGAATTGTTTTGTATCTTCTCGCACGCGCTTTATGTAATCACTGTTGTCATTTGTGATGTGATATTCTTCGCTATATATATATAGACCGCATCTTTCCATTTCACGACAAGATATACGTACTATTATATGGGGTAGGCATTTTCGTTGCTTTCTAAGTATCATGATAATGGTGATGACGAAAGCAGCACAGTGTGTGCTCTGATCACGACAGATCGCTTGTTTTTTGTTTTTGTTAATAAATTTGTATTTGTAATTTAATTAGGCTGTACAATCATCAATCATAAAATAGAAGAATTTTTCCTCCATAGTTTACTTTATGAATTTCGATAAGACAATAAGAAGAAGACGTGGCTTATCTGAAACCTGTGTAATGTATTTGCGCAACACATTTCGAACATTCTCATCACACACACACACACTAGTACTTGTCATACACAGTTATATAGAAAAATCAAGAGAGCCTGAGTAATTACAATACTGGTTAGATTGTGTACAGGTCAAGGTCACAAATAATGGATAAGGACGTGACGCAAAGGTGTGGGTAAGAAAGAGAAAAAACAAGGCAAAGAAAGGGTTGAAAATATATTATGAAGTAAATTGATCCTTTGGCATGCGATTCGCTCCCGCCAAATGCAAGATGATGTTACAGGACTGGACTACATCGACGCCTAGTTTAAAAATAGAAAGTGAAGTGGTTGGTGGAGCACGTTGACCGCTTCACTTATTTGGGTAGTACCATCAGCCAACACCAACGGGTTGATCTCTGACGAAATCTCAGCACGAATACAGGGGGCTCGTTTCGCATTCGCCAGTTTACGCCAACTCTGGCGTATACGAGATGTTCGACTATCGACCAAAGGGCGAGTGTACTGCTCATCAGTCCGCTCCGTCCTCCTATATGGCTGTGAGTGAGACCTGGTCACTGAGAGTGGAAGATATGAAAAGGCTAACTAGCTGTGTTTGATCATAGGTGCCTGCGCTCTATCTCGCGTGTGAAGTGGTATTGTTGTTTCTTTACTTATTCAGTGAAACGGGAACAAAATGATATTTTGGTGTGAAGCACATGCTGGCATGCGTGGTCTATCGCTGCGTGTGTCGGTGTCATGGTCATGTCAGATGAATCGGTGGCACAGTGGTTATGACTCTCGCCAACCATGCACATGGTCCGAGGTTCGATACCCTGCCGACGCACATCTGATATCTATGGTCGGCCTGCAAAATTTGGGTTACCGATATCCATGCTGAAAATTCCATACTTGTACCAAAAATGCACTGTGGAATCAAGCTGTAAATCAAAAAAAAAATTAAATAATAGGGTGAACAATATTGAGGTTAGGCGTCAAGTTCTAGGTAAGCAGGGGAAATCAATCGACGAAGTCGTGAAGTTACAAAGACTGAGATGGTTAGGACATGTGTTACGTATGCCAAGCCATCGCCTCCCTCGACGAGCAATGTTAGCGGATATAGGGTCAGGGTGGAAAAAAGCTATCGGCGGTCAAACAAAAACTTGGCTTCACCAGTCAATGAAATCCACAACAGTTGGTCAAAGCCACGTAGAAAGGTGTAGACTTCCAGGCTGGGGTCCTCGGGACGGGAAAAATCTATGGTTGGAAACAATTGGTGACATGGCTCAAAACCGTTCTCAGTGGTGCAGATGCATCCACTCCCTGTGACTTATGATCTCCAATGAAATTGTTTTGTTCTTCGTTATTACTCCTCCTTTGTCTCACACCTCTGCTCACTGTTTCTATTATGCTTTTCTTGTACTTTCTTCTCTTGCTTCGCGTGCTACACGGAGTGTAGCGACTTGAATTGGTGCATATATGTGCAGAGTTCTATGTCGAAAACAGACAGACAGACAAATTGATCCTTGGTTCTAAATTGGATTACCAAGACAGGTTTAAAGTATGAACAAATAACTGTTGAACACATAAGCCAGTTACAAATCTTTTTATGGCTAAGGCTTCAATGAATTTAAGTATGTGGCCCAACCTTGTTATGTATATATATATATATATATATATATATATATATATATATATATCGCCTTAAAGGCATTATTGAAATCAACCTTATAACCTGTCTCTATAATATGCTTCGCTATAGATGATGCTGGACATCTATTTCCAGGGTCAGTTGTATCTGGCGATTTCATTTGTTGTTGGAGCCACTTTGGAATGTGTTCTGTAGCCCTAACCTGCAGAGACCGATGGGTCCTCCCTATGTAAGTGTCTCCACACATACATGTAAATTGATAAACACAGTGAGATGTGACACTATCGTTCAGATAATGTGAGGGTTTACAGGACAGAATGGTTTATTTATTTTATTTTTTTTATTTTTGATTACAGCTTGACTCCACACCGTATTTTTGGTACAAGTATGGAATTTTCAGCGTGGATATCGGTAGCCCAAAATTCGCAGGCCAACCATAGATATCAGGTGTGCGCCGGCGTGGGCTCGAACCTCGGACCATGTGCATGGTCGGCGAGAGTCCTAACTACTGTGCCACCGACGTTCTCGTTTTCTGTATGAAGATAAGCTTAGTCGCATAATAGGTTCTATTAACTGCGGTCTTAAGTCTTTGTCTAGTGACTAGACATTGTTGATCACCTCTGAATGGCAAGGATATGTAAACATCCTTTATAATTCATGAATAATCCCGATTTCAAATTATGAATGAAAAGAGCAATACTGGCAATTGTTTTTCGGCGAAGGAACTCTTCTCGCAGTGAATTCATTTTATTCATTAACTAGCTGTACAATCAAATTATTATATAACGTTTTTAGAGATCCATTGCAAAAGCAGAGAATATTGGGTAGTCGTTTCGTCCTAGTTTGGGACTCTTCAACAGTACCCATCCAGTACTAGCGTTCGAATCTGGGACCTTTTGGTTACAAGATGAGCTTGTATATCATTCCAGTGGTTCTCTAACTGAAATCAGCACGTCGCCAGGCATGTAACCAATCGATTCCTTGCAAACCAATACTTGTCAGCTTTTCTTACATGAAAGAGGATAGTAACAAAATTGACGGATCAGTTGTCATAATCACATAGTGGGCAATATTAATCAATACATAATAGGTACTTTGAGTGGATACTCGCTAGAGACTAGTGTCATATGTCTAGTTCTTTATTTGGTGCATACTGAATTCTATCAGTCAAGTTTGCAATGTGGTCACCATGCTAGGTAGCTGGTGCCATTGCACTTTGAATTATTGATATTAGATGGTTGGAAGCAATCTGGAGGAAGCATTGAACGTAGGTTTCGTGCTAGTTGGTACTCATCAGTCAGCAAGGAATATCTGCAACCTTGAAGGAACTCATTTTCCCTCTGAGATTCGGAGCAGGGTCTTGTCTTTGACTGCACCACTAGGCGAATGATTCTGAATTCCTTCAAGATTGCAGAAATACCATGTATGATGACGACTACCAGCAAGCACGAAACTATGGTCGAAGGCTTCCTACAGATTGCCTGTAATCATCGAAGCATTCTGTAACCGAAGAAAGTTTTCATCATCATTATTATGTTCTCAAAGTCATTTCTACTTGTACATAAGTTGCATGTGAAATAATAATAGGCAACACCCATAGATTGTGAATTTTGGAGTCCTTTAAACATGTACGATTTACAAAGATCGTGTTTCTTTTGCACAAATGTCCAACCATCTAATATCACCAGTTTACAGTACAATGCGCTGTGATGGCAAGCCACCTAGGATAGTTGCCACATTGCAAACTTGACTGATGGAATTCAGCTCGTGGAAAACACCCATAAGGATATTAGAAAGAAGAGTACATGAAGTTCAGCAAAGATATCTGCCTTTTCAGTGATTTCATTTTCAAAAGTAGCTGTACAATCACATTTAAATACATAATTTTACATGGATACAATTCTTGTTTGATTTCACATAATTATGACGGGGGACGTCTTCATTCGATTCACTCCATTTTTTCAGTTAAAAAAGCGGTTATTTTAAGTTTGTTTCCATGCTTTTCCTATTCATATTTATAATAATAATAATAATGAATTACTTTATTCCAAAAACAGTACTTGTGATACAGAATGGAATTTTCAGCATTAATCACAATATTGCATCTAATTTCCTCAAATTATAAATAAAATTAATCACACAGAAAATTTTCCACATTTACAATAGAGGTAGTGTCAAAAACATGCAGCATATAAAATGGAAATAGCAATAATAATGATAACAGCTAGGGTAATAATAATAATAATACAAGTGAAAATTGCCGTTGGCTTGTGTCACACAGTATTGGCAATGTGGTATAGAAATCCTAACATGTTTAAAAATATTGAATATAATGTTCTCTTTACATGATATGGTGAGGGGAAAAACAAAGATTACAGCCGTCATGGAGATAAGTTGGTGTTTGCAATTATGAGAGTAAAACAAAGAAGTAACAGGACCATAAATATAATAGAAGTAATAAAAGTAAAACTTGAAGGTATATAAGGATGGATGGAGGAAATTGTTTATTTACTAGATGAAAAAAGGTTAGTTAATTCTTGCCTGACACTATTTTCATCACATAAAATACGTGCCAAGTATGGTATCATAGAATTCTTATACTTAGACGTGCGAGCATACAGTTTTCTGAAGTTACTCCTTGTTCTACCTGAGGAGATGCAAGGTGAAAGCTGAGGGTAAAGCGGATGCTCCAAGTCAGACAAAATCCCTTTAGCAAATTTATTGCATGAAGTCAAGTGCCTATCGACAACGACGTTAACTATGTGGTCCACTGGGACACCACTCACCCTACTGACAGTCTTCAGTATTCTACGAATTGTGACATAGTCCTTTTTAAGCAAACCAGGAAAGAATAAGGGTGAGCAATAAAGAAGAATAGGTAGGATGCAAGAGTTTATGAACTGTAAGAGGAAGGGTTGAGTTATACCCGAGTGTCTTAACTTCTTAATGTAAAATGTCAGGCGGAATATTTTACTGGAGATTGCTAAGACATGGGAAGACCAGGAGAGAGAATGAGTCCAAGATACTTAATTTCTGATTTGATTCCTATATCATTGTCGTCAATTTTACAACTGTCATGAGAATCGATGACTTCTTTTAACTGTCGTTTACATCTTAAGCTGAAATCAACAGTTTGACACTTAGAAGGATTCAGTTTAAGACCGTTAGACTCAGACCATTTGCTGACTTCCGATAGAAAGCTATTTATTTTAGTACAATCTAGCTGGGAGTTAACAGCCATTGAAACCGTTAAATCATCAGCGTACTTCACAAAGTTTATTTCATCAGAGTGAGGCAAGTCGTGTAAGA